GCAGCATGAATGAAGAAAAAAGTCTAATCTATTAAAGAGCAGTGCACCTGAGACCAAGATTCTATCACAACAGTGAATGATTGTCTCGTGGATTGTGCGGGCCTCTGCATGTCAAGATGGTACAGGGGAAAGACAGAAGAATGTCTCTACTGAGCTATCCCACAGGTCAAAGATTTGCCCCTCCCCCCCAGGTATTCACACTCTACCAAGCTGTGCTGAGACAAAGTCCACGATCAGACTGACAGCTCAGGAGAGCACATGTCCGCAGTCTAGGAGCAAATTGAGGACAATGGGTTCTGAGTGGTATTACATAAATGACATCCAGTACATGAAGCTAGCAGGACTGGGAAAAAAAAAAAGAGAGAAAGTCCAGTATACAGTCTCAAAATGCCAGGAATATAGAGAGTGGGGAAGGGGAAATATAAAAACAGAATGTCTGAGAATTTTCAAAATTGAGAGAAATGTCAAATCTTGGATTAAATAGCCACTAAATGGGAGTTAAAAAAAACAACAACTGTATACATTCTGATTATATTATCATGATAAAAAATGTAGAGCCTATTGAAAAAACCACAGAAACTTTTGAAGTCAGAATATCATCTCCACAATTTAGTAACAACAAAAAAAGACTAGACAAATCTGTGTTTGGAAATCAAAATGCAAACATTTGGCTAACCCCTGGGACAAATAACTCAATTAGAAAGGATGTTTGAATACAATGTTATTAAAATGTATGTGATGGCGGACCCTCCCCAGGGTGCAACAGGTTAAAGCACAGCATTGTGAGGCTATCACAGCCACTGTGGTGTGAGTTCAATCCCTGGCCAGGGGCGTGACCCACACAACTCAGCAGACCTCTCCTGTCTTGCCCGCTGCTCCCATCAGCAGTGTGGCTTCGTCCGCCTCTTCTACTCCCCACTTTGATTCTGGTGAGTCCTTTCACCCCCCGTACCTCTGGCCTTTAAACCAGTTCTGTATTTATAAATAGATAAATCTTAAAAAAGAAATTTATGTGATGGAGCCAAAGCAGTATTTGGGGGGAAATTTTGAAGTTTTATATGTAGTTGAACTTGTAAAAATCATTTTATTAAAGTCATAATATTAAATTCAACTATGCTTTACTATATCTTTAAAATATATACTACCAAATTAAAAAAATACATTAATACTAAAAACATCAAATACTTAGAAATTGAAGAAACAGTAAAACATTGTAAGAAATTAAAGTCCATATAAATAGACATATTAATATATATGCATACAAACTGGCCTAGATATGTTTGCTGCACATGTTTGCATATGTGACAATGAAAGAATTAACTATTTAGTACTGTTGGGATAAATTGTGTCTGCATGGAAGAGGATGGAGTCATATTCAAAAAGGAGAAAACAGCTCCAGGATTAAAAGTTTTAGAAATAAAACAGCTGAACTGTAAAATATTAAAAATATTTTAAAATACCCGAACTGTAAAATATTTTAAAATATTTAAAAATAGAGGATCACTTTATAAATCTCGGGAAAGAAAGCCTTTCTTTAATAGGGTGCAGAATGTAAAATATCAAAGAAAACATGAATGTTTCAGGTTATGGTGAGAAAAAGCTATACATTCAGGAGCTAAAGGAAACATAAACCAAACCCTGAAATGAAATATCTGTTGCACGTTTAAATTACAAACTTGCAGTATCCAAATATACATGTAATTACTAGTTCACTAGCAGCAAAAAATCAAAGGTCACAACAGTCAAACATTTGTTCTCACAATTCATTGAGGGGAATACAAATGCCCATTAATACATGAAAAGATTCACAACCTCGCAAATCAAAACAAGATACTACTTCACATCCATTAACCTCGAGAACACCAGGTTTTGCTGAGGATGTAGGAAGACAGCTACTCCAGTGCATTGATAATATAACCTTTGTGTAGTTCATCACAGCCCTAAATAACATTTAAAATATGATTTCTCTGGGAAACTTTTGATTTCCACTTAGCAATTCAAAATCTAGTCATCATCCAAAGATGTTACTGCAATTTTGTAAAATGAAAACAGAAGTAAACTTACTGTGCCTAGAGGGTTAGAAAAATAGTTTGAGCCACAGCTGTCAGAGCTGCATATAAATGAAAGACAGCTATATGCACAAACATGGATAAAACCCCAAAACATAATTCAGTGACACCAGCTCCAAAAGGTATACATAATATGGAGCCATTTATTACATTTGAAAGACCACAGAACAGTAATATTTATATTTTTATGTAATTACACATACTTATAGCAAACATGCATAGACACAAGTCTTCTGGGATGGTGAGTGTGTGTATGGCTTTGTAGACATCTTGTTTTTCCTAAAGGGACCACTCTGAGGCCATCAAGTCAAAGCTTATCAAAAAGTGATAACTGTTCCATTACTTTTTGTTTGGAATATTCCTTATCTCAACTTAATTTTTTTTTTATTTCAAAATGAGATAAGTTTGGAAAGCATACTCCTTAAATGCAGCTGTTCTTCAGTTCCTGATATTCACTTGCCATATTTTTTTCTCTGTCTGGAATTTTAAGGTCAAAAAAAAAGGAGGAAGGATAAAGCATGGTATCTGAAATCATCAACCTCACCTTTGCCAGATGTGAGTGTGCACTCTCTACAGTTCCACCTCTGTGGGTGGCAGCAGGGACGTGACTCCCAGTCTCAAGCTGATGTTTTGGAACAGCCATAAAACCTGGGGGTTACACTAAACAACCAGACGTGGAAACAGATGCCTGAGCCTGCAGTGGAGTACCAGACGGATTTCAGTCTGAGTCCTCAGAACAAATTGTGTGGGTGGACAGTTCCACCCTGTCTGAACTTGGAATGTGCATCAACACTGCTATTGCTCTGTTTTGAGAACTGTTAAAGTTACCAAAATTTAAAGCAAAATATGTCCTTCACTAGTGCAACACAAAGATGATAAGTGCAATGTCCCAGAAGCTGAATTTAACTGTCGCTTATACATGATTTGGACCTGTGTTCACCTGTTTATTTGCTTACATGTAGAATTTGAGAGATTTGTTAATGGAAAAGAGTTTTTTTCTCTCTAAAAAAACACAAGCAGAGATTCTGGCATCCCCAGGCCTCAATTCTAGAATATCAATTGGTTGAACTGTCTGCTACCCCAAGGCATCACTTATCTCCTCACCTCACTAAGAGTTTCAATTCAGTGCTGGCCTCAATGAGGGTTTCAATTTACTCATTTTACAGGGGTAACCAAGTCAAAGAGGGATCAAGTTTCTCCCCAAGGTCACAGTTAATCTGTTAAATGACTATTATTACTTAAGTTATTGTGACTTTATTTCTCTACAAAATGAAGAACTACTTCATAGTTTCTAATAATGCTATAATATAATTCTGCAGGCATAATGGAAGTGACACTTTTGAATGCTTTTAACAAATACTACTACTACTACTGCTACAGGTAGACATAACACCAGCAATAAGTCATCAAGATTTGGTCAAACTCAAGACAGAAATGCATGTAAAAAGTATTAGAGGAGTAACACATTATAACTGAAAAATGGTTTAATTAGAGGTTCCCTAGGTATTTTGCTTGTTGAGTTTATTCGTTCTTAGCTCAAAGCCAGCATACAGTCTGTACTCCTGGACAAATATTACCCATCATGCCCAGAGTGCTGAGCTACCTGTATAAGCAAAATGTATTTTTGTAACAGTTGACCATTTGAAGAGACTATAAAAATGACAATATCCTTGAGAATGTAAATAATAATAATAAAAAACAACAACACTAAATAATCCATGTGTAAACCATGAGGGATCTAGCTTCATTCACTTGGACAGACTCTTATGTGGAAAACTGTGCCACTGGGCAAAAAGAGGTACATCTGTCTTAAATAGTGACATCCACAGATCTGTAGGTGCAAAAGGATTTGTACAGCATATTAACAATTATGTTTTTTAAAATCCCACAAGTTTCTTGTGGGTCCATATGTGTATGCAAAAAAACACGAAGGTGTCTGAGGAGACAGTGGATGCTTTTGTTTAGACAGGAGAGAGGAGGTGTGGAGGTAATTAAAGCATATTTTAGCTCCACCTGTAAGACTTCATTTGAAGTTTAAATGGAAGTGCTTACATTACACGTGGCCATAGGTTCTAAAAATCTTCTCATGAAATGAAATTTAAACTATATCAGCACTCCAAATGAACTTTTCAGTGTGAAAAGGCATATGAAAACATAAATTTCATTTTTCCTGATTAAAATCAAGCAAGGCAATTGGAGGCATGGTAACAGGGCTGACAACATCCAATTTACCTGGAATGATAAGGAGCAAGAAATATGGGATTTGATGGACCCCAGGATGAACCCAGGATCCCTCTGATTCCACCTAGAACTCGAAGCAACAGATTGTTTAATTTATCCAAGGTGCTATTATCTAAGGTGCTATTAAGTTTTCAGTGATGGCATTTGCTTTCCCCAAGAATGCACAGGAACACTGAAAGGCAAGTTTTGACAAGGAGGAAACCCAGTCTAGAGGGGTCAGAGTTCAGAGTGACCAGGCTGGGTGGCAGGGCTGGGGCTGTGGCACAGGTGTGCACTCCTGTCAGCCTTCCCTGTCCGCCAGGCCACCTGCCTGCTCTGATTCACCAAGGTGCCACCGCCTGTCTGTATCTGTCCCCAAATATTCATTCCTCAGAACCATTCTGTCTCTCCTGCTTATCTATTTGTTACCTACCTACTTACCCTCCTACCCACCCACTCTATACCTAGTTATGTGTCTGCCTGCCTGCCTATCTCTATCATCTACCTCCCCCTACCCCCCCCCCCACCTGGATGCTGGGAAATGGGACCAGTCCCCTTCGACGCCGGGTTCACTCTCTCCCTGGAAGTCCTTACTTGCTTGTCTCCTGCACGGAGCCGGCAGACATCAGACAGGCCCCAGGCGCAGACAGTCCGGGTCTGGACAGGAGGGTCCCAGGGCACCGGGGAGGGGTCGCGCGTCCTGGCACTCACCTTGCCCTCCGCGGCCGCGGCAGCCAGAAGCAGCAGCAGGAGAGGCGGCAGGAGCGCAGCGCGGGCGCTCATGGTGAGCGCTGGCTGGAGCCGGGCGCGCCGGGTGTAGCGGGCTCTCAATCCGCGGGTTCGCGGGCGCCGCGCTGGAGGGGGGGACCGGTGGAGGTGTTGGCCTTGCCTACCCTCTGGGGGGGCGGTTTTATAGCCAGCCGTATAGACCAGCGAGGTGGCTGAGATCCCGCCCTCGGCCCCCGCCCCCCAACTCACCAGGCGGCGTCCCTCCGACCCGGGCATCGCCCCAGGAGGAAAGAAAGCCGTGCGCCTGGGGGTGAGAGGGGTGACGGGTGGGGGCGCGGGCCCAGGAGAGGAGGCTAAGGCGGCGATGCCCCCAAGACCTGGCGCAGGCGGGGCGGGAGGCTGTGGGTCGCAGGGGGGGTTTGGGTGTGTGCGCTGGGAGGCGGCGGAGCGGAGTAGAGGGAGTGGCCAGCCGCGGCGCCCAGATTAATTAAGCAGGAGGCGCGCGGGGCATGGGCACTCGGGCGGCGACTGCTCCAGCGTCCCTCTCCGCCCGCCCTGCAGCTTGCAGCCCCCAAACCCCGCCGTGGGGGCGCGGCGAAGGGGCCGAGTGGCGCTGGGTGGCGGCTCGCAGCCTCGATGTGCGCCCGCGCGGGTGGGCGAGTCCGGAGGTAAGGCGCCCCCCGCCAGCCTGGGCAGCGCCGCCCGGGCGCCGAGCACCTGCCGGGGAAGGCGGTCGGGGAGCAAGCTGCATCCAGGGGGCGCGCTCCGGGAGGCGGGCGGGGCTGCGGCCTGCGGCCCCGGGGTCACCAGAGGAGAGGTGTCTGGCTCGCGCCCTTGTGTGCTTGGGCTTGAACTGCGCGCAGTGTGTTTTGATTAATTTGGAGGCTCGAGTTACCAGCCTGGCAGTCCGGGCACTGTGAAATGCCAAAGAGCAAGAGGCAGCTGAGGAGAAAAGAAAGCCCATCCTATTCTTCGCTGCCTTGAACTGGCCTTTCAGCTAAATCTTATCTGCGGAAATGCACGGGGAGCCGAGAGCCAACTTTACCCGGGGTGTCTCTCCCCAGAGCACCCTTCATGGAGGTGGCCTTGGGGCTGGGAAGGTGGGGTGCTCTTTTCAGAGTGCTAGTGGGGACCGTCTCTGGGGTCCCAACCACATGACGCCGGGGACGCAATAGACCCCATCTGTCTACTATTATTAACACACAAGCACAACAGCAGGGTGGGTCGTGCCTGAATACAGTTACCCAAGAAGAGCTTCGTGATACAGTAACCTGCTGCATCATCTTGCTCCCGCCTTCCTCCGCCTCCCTCTTAATTCCAACTCTATTTATTAATGGCACTGAGTTGTTTTTCCCCAGTATTTTTCCTTGTCCCGTCATCCACCGGGTTCATGTCCAGACTTTGTCTCTGTCACGCTGAGTCGCTTTGCCCTGCGTCCTTCCCTTGAACTTCGGGTTCCCGGCGGCCGCTGGCGCTGTTTTGTCTCAGGGCTGAGTAATACTTCACGTGTGGATCACCTACCTGTTGTCACCCACGGGCACGCAGGTCGTCTCCACACCTAGTGATTGGAAATAGCGCTGCCTAAACCTACAGCAGAGAGCGATTTTTTGTTTGTATTCTAAGAGCATATTGGTGGTGCATCTATTTTTTTTTTTTTGAGTTTTAGTTCTTAGGATTTTATTTGTTTAGATTTCTTTCTTTCTTTTTAAAGATTTATTTATTTCTGCATACAAAGACTGGGGTACAGGCCAGAGGTGCAGGGGCAACGAGAGGATTCATCAGAGCAGAACAGGCGGATGGACTGAGATACACTGCTGAGGGGAGCGGTGTGGGTCAGCCCCCTGCCGGGGATTGAACTGATGCAGCAGTGACTGCAGATGGCCCCACAGAGCTGCGCTCTACTCTCTTGTACCCCCAGGGTGGCCCCTAGTTTTATATTTCCAGTGTTGGTCCACATCCCTCCCCTAGTGGTGGTGCCAGGACCAGTTTACATGGCCACCACCAGCGGTGTAACAGGGTCCTTCTCTGCATCCTCTCCAGGACTTGTTGGTTTTTTAATATGTGCCATTAACACAGGTGTGAGCTACCTCATCGCAGTTTTAACCTGCACCTCCCTTATTAAAAGTGGTGATGAACATTTTTCCATGCATCTGTTTGCCTTCAGGATGTCCTCTTTGCTGAATTGTCTGTTCAGATCTGCTGCCCATTTATTAATTAGGTTGTTTGTTTTTTTATTGTTGAGTTATATAAGTTACCTGCGCCGTGATTAGTGCACTAAATACCTAGCCCCAACAGCGCATCTATGAGACACTGTAATCGCAAAGCAGTGATGACTATAAATGGATTTTTGAGACGACCGCCCAACCTGACATGTGACTTGAGAATACCGTGGGTGGAAGTCTTAAGCGCTGCCAGAGTGGCTTAGAGCTATGGTTTCGTGCGTCTATGCATAACTGAAGGAAATACAAAGCTTTCAGGGAAGGTTAATGGATGCGCTGCGCCCATCCAAGTTGACTCCTGGATTTACCCCTGACCAGGTTGGGATCCCTGCTGGGGAGCAGTGCTGCTATCTGCAGTAGCAGCTTCAAAACACCAGGGGTCACATGTGGCTAGTCACTGAGTGACACTTGCAATTAGAATGAGGTCCCTGGGCCCTCCCTGGTGGCACAACAGGTTAAAGTACAGCCCTGCGAAGCTCTTCGAAGCCAAAGCCACTGCAACAGGAGTTTGATCTCCAGCGAGGGAGCTGGCCCACATGGCACACCAGACCTTCACTGCTCCCCTCGGCAGTGTACTTCAGTACATCTGTGTATTCTGCTCCCCACTCAGTTTCTGGTGAATCCTTTCACCCGCCACATCTCTGGCCTGCTCCCTAGTTTTGTAAGCATAAATAAATAAATCTTTGGGAAGAAAAAAAAAATGAGGTCCCTGAGCTTGTTAGACCTTTCTAGCTAGGTAGGCAGGCGAAACCTGACAGCAAATAGATGAAGAATTCACACCCACTCCATTTCACTGTAGAGTGTTAAAATGCTCTTTTTATGTCAGTGGTTGTTCACTGTAGCTTTGCATTGGCATCACCACAGGAGCCTCTGAAGATCTTCACCCAGCCCACCCCAAGCCGCTTACAGCGGATGCTCAGTGGGAGGATTCTGGTATCAGAATTGAGACTCCCATGTCCAATCAAGTCTGAAAGTCACTGTTTTCTGTGCATATTTCAGCTGCATTGACTAGGGTGCCAGACCATCACTGCTGCAGTGTGGTATGTGGGAGCTTCTCCCCACTAAGACCTTAGAGGGCCTTCTCTTGCCATTCTTGTAGACAGGACAGCAGGGTCTGTGCTGGGGAAATGACAGTGCCCGAGGATTCTGAAGGCATGTGGTCATCTTACATGACCTGACATTATTTCCTGGGGAATATCCCTAAGTGCTGGTGTTGCGTGCTCTTTCATTTTGCTGATTTCCAAGACTTCTCAATTTGAATTCTCATTGCTGTTTCCTAAAACCAAGTCCTTTGGACAGAAGACCAGACGTTAGCAGTTTTGGAATGAGCAGCAGCAGACAGCTGCAAGTCACTTCTGATGCCATCACAGAGCCAGAAAGGAACTTACAGTGAATACAGGGAGGAGAAAGCAGTGGCGAAGACCTTGGTCTCCAGGGTAGGCTCTGGATTTCGAGTCCTTTTCTACTTCCTAGTGCTGGCTAACTTCTCTAGGCTGGGGTCTTCCCTTTTGGAAAGCTGGCACAACCCTCGTACCTCCTCAAGAAGTAGTAGGAATCCGATAATGCATTAAAAGTCCTTTGTCCAGGATCTTCACAAAGTCATCACATACTTGGAATCTAATTCCAAATCGCATAATTTTCATCAAGTAAAAGAAGGTGGGGCTTTAGGTAGGAGTGGTAAAGGGCCAAGGATCAAGCACCCCGGCTAGACCCCTTCAGCTCAGTGGGCCACGCTGGTGATAGATCCTTGTGCCTGACAGCCCTGGGAACAGCAGCTGTGGCATCCTGGAGAGATGGAGACAGAGGCTGGATCTTGGCCATGCCCAGCCCCCAGGTTCAGACCCCAAACTCACCAAGATCTCCAGGGGATTTCCACGGGTTAATCTTTGCGAAGTGACTAGTCTAAAAGCCCAAAGAACCTCCTACTCCTCACCTCCCCAACTTGGGACACAACTTCCTCCTGTAGAAAGCTCAGTGTGGCCACTAGGGGCTGCTAGTGAGCCAGAAGTCTTCATTTGTGAAAAGTTGTCCCAGCGTCAAGAGAGTTGATTTTCCACAGTTGAGTGTTTAAATGTGATAAAAAGAAACACATAGAACTCTGCTTCCAACTGCTGAAATCAGCTAAGGGTTTTGAGCAAAATCGAGGGTTTCTTTTAACAAGCCATGTGATGTTACTTTTGCTCCCTTAACCATACTCCCAGTCTGGATCTGTTTCCATGTAGTTTCTTCCCTGCAATTGAGTTGGGGTGGGGCTTTTTTGGTATGCTATGCTGTTTTTAATGGAATGAAGTTGTTTATGTGTGAGTGAATGAGTGAATGGATGGAATGCCTTGATAAATTCCCTAAGGATTCATACCATCTCTACTTTTTTCCAAAATCCATTTTCTTTCCATCATCTTTGTTGTAGAGGGACATGCCTCTTTTCTGGATGAGATACACTCTGACAAGCGCCTCTTTAATCTTTTTACTTCATTTCTCCTCCCAGTCATCTCTTTGCTTTCAAGAACCTTCTCTTTTCAACACCTTTAAAACAGATAGAATGTCCTTTTAGAACATCAGTGTCATTACCAACGCATGTCTGTTCTTGCCATTACATTTCCAGATTCTTTCTCTGCTTTTCTAAGCCCAGGGTTCCTGCTTTAGTGCCTGCACTTATCATCTGTGGATTACGGTAGCCTTCCAGGGCATCCCTGGCAAATTCTCTACTCTGAGATCCATCTACTATGTTATTGTCCCAGTTTCATTTAAAACTGCACGTGGTGGAGCCTCCTTGGTGAAGCAAGGGGTTAAGTCTCCGCACTGTCAAGCTCTCAGCAGTCACTGCAGCACGAGTTAGCTCCCCAGCCAGGGAGCTGACCCACATGGCCCAGCAGACCTCTCCTGTCTCACCAGCTGCTCCACGCAGCAGTGTGCTTTAATCAGTCCATCCCCCCATCCCCCCATACCTCTGGCCTACCCCAGCTCTTGTATGCGTAAATAAAATAGATCTTTAAAAAACAGATTAATAAAGCTGCACATTGTATTAGAAAGGACAGGCTGATATGGTGAAGGGCAGTTACACTCCCCAAATTTATAGGGCTAATGACAACAAGAGTTTTTTTCTTCACTTACATTACAAACTCATCACGGGGAGCTGGGAGGAGAGGGTGAGTGGGGACTATTAGAATCATTCAGGAACCTGCTGGAATTTCCACTCAGCTGTCCTCTGACTGTCTCAGTGGGAGAGAAAGCAGATGGGCAAAGAAAGCACTTTTCTAAGAGTTCTCACCTGGGCTTGGCTCAGGCTGCTTCAGCTCACATTTCATTGGCCAAAGTGGTCAGTGACCACGATTTATTTCACGACTGGCTGGGAGCTACCCCATGCTTGGACAGAGCTGGGACTATTTACTGACCACTAGGAATGCCTACCACATCCACCCTGTCACCTGCTTTTTTAAGAGCTTCTGGGA